CTATCAGGCTGTTGTCTGGCGCTCTCTCATCTGTAGCGCTCTCTCGCCTCATACTCTCCTCTCCGCGCTTAGTCTCTCATTCCCTTAGCACAGCCGATTAGGAAGGTGAGTGAGCCCTTAACCTGAGCGTTTTCGACGGATTCTTTTCCTTTTTCTTTACTGCCGGCCCATTTCGCACCAATACATTCGCATTCGTGTGCAAGAGCCACACCAATGTGATCCTGGGGCATGCCTTTAATCACCAAAAGCACCCTCGAAACGAAATTGAATGACAATGATAGCGATATCGGGGACACCAACATAACCACACTTGGAAGGAGGGGGGGGGGCAACGTTCAGGTTTAGAGTCTGACTGTTACAACTAGCGAACCGAGAAACTAAAAGAAACTTCACCGCAAAAACACTACAACCTCCAACTGCTGAATGGCCCCATGGACTTCTCCTGCCGCCTATCTACCGCTGCCACTGCTGCAGATACTTCCCTGGTGTTGACTCACTTTATCATGTTCTCTGTTTGAACTGTTTGTTGCATTAATCACTGAAAACTGCTGAAGGCCCTCATGGACCACTCCTACGAGTTCACCTCTGCTGCCTGAGTTCACTCTCTACCTTTACTTAACTTCACTGCTTTGAGAGAATTTGTACTGATACCTGTGCACAAGCGGCTCCCATGTATCCAAAGAAAGGCGTATAAGCTGGTAGTTCTGCTGTGTGTAAATCATATGTCATTCTGTAACCATAATCAATGAGTAAAAGTACGCTGAAAAGTAGCTTTACTAAAAAAAATAAAAAATGAAAGTGGAAGAATATGCCGCCAGGCATGGTATCATACACCTTTCAAAACAGAAACCCAGAGAAAGCCAAGTAAAACTTTATTCGAGAAGAAAGTTAAACTGCTCAAAAAGTGCCGACAAAGCGGTTATGGTTGACGAACATCATCACGCCTGTCTGTCAATGAGATCCTGTCAGCAGCCGAGCCGGCATCCTGCTGATTGCAGTCGCATTCTTCAGATTTCTGAAATTTTCAACCGTGCGTTGCTCAACTTGGATGAGAAGTTAGTTTCAGTGACGGAGAACTTGAATTTTTTGAAAATGTATGGTTGAGACTCTGAAATACATGAGAAAGCCAAAAGCGACAACTCCAGCTGAAGCATGTTGGAGAATCTATTCTGTGGGTGGGATAGAGTAGCCCACAAGCACCAAAGGTGTCTCGAAGATGCGCAACAATGGCGATAGGGCCTTGCAAAGTGATCCGATGGCAACTAAAAAAATCTAGCGGACGAGGTACCTAGTGCACATCCCATGACACGTAACGTGCATTACGGCGTATGGCTATTTCAAATATGCGCTG